CCCCCAGCCCCTGAAATGCTGGCGCTTGGATGCCTATTGGTCCCGGTTGGTGGCACCAACCGGGACCAAAGGCCCTCCTACCTGGGCTCGGCGCACCGGCCACGTAGAGGTCCATCTGTCCCGATTCGTGTAACAACCGGGACTAAAGGCCCTTATCAAAAGGCCCAAGCAAGGGCGCCGCCGCCAGGCGAAGGAAGGCCGCCACGGCCGAGAAAGCCAACGCGAATGCGAACGCCGCCAGGACGGTCGAGGCTCCCAAAAAGGCCGCCGTCCGTCGGGGTGTACAGCCTCAAGGACGGCACGATGAAGAAAATCTGGGATCTCAGAGAGCAGGTCCGAAACTTTTACCCGCCGCCGGTTTGGATATTACCTTCCAAGTAATAATTAGCTAGGTTTGAGTTTTTTCTTAAGATAGCTAGCAAGTTATAACTGGAATAATTTGTACTAATTGATAAGCACATCAAATGTGTGTGTGCGCCTGATTAAATGAGATCCATGAGCATCATTCAGAATAACAAAATTTTCAAAGGAATGCAAAAGTTTTTGCCACATTTGTTTGACTATTAACCAAGAAGAATGGTGTCTACTTTACTTCATCCATTCTAAAATATGAAATAAAAGGCTTATAAGTTTTGCCCTAAGTTATGTTTTATAAATTTCACCGAGTTAATAGAGAAAATCATCAACACAGCTACGATACCAAACCAGTCAATAAATTCACCACGGAATATGTACTCCTACAGGAGTAAGACCGTTAGGGTTAAAACAACATAAAACAACAAATGTAACCATGCATTGGTGTGACACCGTAGTTCAAAGCATACATAGATGGAAAATATATGCTAGCTAGCTAAGCTAGGAGTGTTCCAACCATCACAGTAATGGCTTGTCCTTGAATTTTTACCCTCCGATTTGCAGCATCCAACTCCAGATAAAGTGTTCCGGTCCTTTTAGATACCTGATGATACATGGTAAACGAATGATTTAAGATGATTAAGCACATATTTTAGCAATTTTTTCAAACACATGCATATCAAAAGAATGATCCAGTTGGTCATAGAGGTAGTCAAGACATACTTGAAACGCCGTCAGTCTTCGTTTGCCCAGTTTTCGGGCCCAGAATGGTGCTAGAGCACAATGTGCACTGCCACAAACAGGGTCCTGTTATGTAGCACAATGCCGATGGGTTATGAGATATGAAAGAAGCTGGTATATTCTCCATAGACAATATGGCCGTAATTTAATTTTCTTTCCAAAATTAAATGTAGGTGTGTTGCTATTTCGAACTCAAGAAAGAAGACCATAAGTTAAACAAGCTTCATGTACTATGGTATATATGTATTCAACTTATAGAAAGTTTACAAGATCACCTCGTCTACCCCTTTTTTCGGGGCGAAGAATCGTGAGAAGAAGTCATAACCAGATCCAGGTGGCGCCTGTCCTGTAACAATGACACCTCTGCCAGCACACTTTTTAAGTTGTTCCAAGTTAGGAAGGACATCAGCAACCTCTTCTCCCGATGAAAGTTCTACCTGAAAAAGGCCACGACGCGCAGATTCTTTTGTCATGTAGATGTATAGCATAGTTGCCTGATCTGCTACCTCATAGGAGTCGAGTTTGCAAATCCGTTGTTATGCTCAGCAAATAGGTGTAGAAAATTCTAACTCCAACGTTGTTTGGACCGTTCGAGTCAGAAGCAGTCCAACTATCCCATGTTGTGGAACAACCCTAATACTGTAGCTCCTAAATACTAATCACCACTCTCAAGTCTCAACCAGACGGTTCAGATACTGCTTACTCCAGCAGCTGCTACCCGGTTTATCCACGCCGTCACAGCCTACTGCCCCTCGGTTTTCGTTGCAGGTTGCCACGATTTTGCCATAGTTCTGAATTTTATGATTTGGCGAATATAGTTCTGATATTTCTCTAAAGAAATACTACCTCTATACACCCGCAAAAGAAAACTACCTCTATAACTAAATATAATACGTTTTTACAGTTTAAATTAAACTACAAAATGTCTAATATTTTGTTACAGAGGTACCCCTCTGAATTTCAGGGGCCATGGGCCCTCACACTGATTTCTTCCGGTCAAAATCAGGGTGGACACGGTCCGGGCCGGTCCGGTCCCGGCCCGAGCCGTCGTTTGGACCGACCGCCGGCGGGCCAGACCGGACCGGACCGAGGAGGCGAGCGGTCCTGTTTTGGGGGACCGGACCGATGCTGACGAAGCCCGAGCCGGACCGACTGGACCGAATGGACCGGCCAACAACTACCGGCGTCGATGTGTGCGAGTGCAGCGGCGAGGTGGGGTACGTGCATGACTGATGGGACGAAGTGGACGACGTGCGCGAGCGCCTACGTGCACGAGAAATTAGCTATCAACTGAAACTTGGGCGAAACCAACAAACTGAATTTTCTGAACCTGTTGAAACTGAACCAACGTATCTCTCTCTCTCTTTCTCTCCGTAACTACCAGTCCTAGTCTCTATTGCATGATGGCACGAGCTTATCTAGATGAGTTTGTTACGGAGTTTGTTAGCGTAGTAGCCGCACCTGCATCCTCCTCTTCTCTGTACATTTGTAACACTCGATAGATACATGAACATACGACCTGCTTCTCTCCTATTGCTCCTTCTTACACTAACGAAACTAACGAAACTGAAGTGCGTGAGAAATCCCCACGAGCACAGAGGGACTCCTCGAACAGCAGCGGTGGCTTCACCTTCAGAGCGTTCGGATTATGTCCAGTTATTCCTGGTTGTGCCGGCGACGCGTTTTTATAGCTGGGGCAGCTGGTAACCGGTGTACGTGCTGTTGCCATGGCAGGATTGGTGCCAGGTTTGGGGTCGATTCCATGGTCGAGAACATCATATCGGCGCCGGTGCGCGCACGGCAGCGATGGCGAGCGGCGTCAAGAGGCTATGGCGCATTGGAAAGTGAGGAAGGGATGAGAGGGGAAGCTCGTGGACATGATGGTTCACACGGGGGCTGCCGGTGGCCACGACGACGAGGCACGGCAGCGGCGGTGACTATGTTTTTTTGGTCCGACTGAGCGGCTCGGTTAAAGACCCGACCGGACCGACAGTTTCTTTGGCCGAAAATTGCAGCCCGGACTGACCAGATTTTCTACCGATCCTGGACCGTAACCGTCCGGTCCTGAACAGGCCACGAGCGGGCCGAAAAGCTTGCTCGTGTCGTCCACCCTGAGGTCAAATTATCCCAGCTAAGCTTTCCCGTTAAATCCGTATTATGTGCCCGTGCTTGTAGCATTGCTCAGATTGGTATCAGAATGCTCTTGACAAAGCAATGGTGAGGCAGTTATATACGTACGATGAAGTCGTCGGTGGTTGCTGCTCGGTGAACACCGACTATGGGCGTGGCCTTCAGGAATATGGACGGCAGCTCGTGGGTGGAGCTGCAGTCCACGAAAACATCGCTCGTGGGGAAATCCAGCTCGATGAACGGTTTCCCCTGCTCCTCCTCCGTCACCCGCGGCCGCGAACTTGCTCCGGGAACCTTCCGGGCGGTCAGGATCCAGGACTCGGTCACGAACTCGATCACGTCGTGCTGCTTCGGGAGGACGGCGGTGAAGAGGAAGTGAGCGGACGCCAGTGTCCCGTGCCCGCACAGCGGGACCTCGGTGGTGGGGCTGAACCAGCGGAGGCGGAACCGCGGGGTGGACGACGAGCTGGAGCCTCCATCGCGGGGGAAGAGGAAGGCCGTCTGGGATACGTTGAACTCCGCAGCTACGGACTGAAGCCACTTGTCGTCATTGGCAGCGGCGTCGTCCTTCAGGAGGCACACCGCCGCCGGGTTGCCCTTGAACGGCTCGCCAGTGAAGGCATCCACCTGCGTGCATGCCAACAACCACACAAAAACTATGGACGTCGAAATGCGATGGAGCAAATTTCTGATACTAGGAGAAGAGAAAAATGGCGGATCGATCCAGGAGCCATAGCAGGTAGTTGAGCAGGTACGGGCGCAGCGCACTGACCATGGCGTACTGGACGGTTCGGTTGGCCATTTCCATGAAGCAGCTAGCTGCCTAGCTCCAAATCTGTGCAGGGTGTACTCAGTACTGGGTGTACTGGATGATGCTGGACGACGATCCACCACGTTTTCAAAAGATACTGTAGTACTAGCCACCGGCAGGTAGGGTCCTCATCTGCCTACGCACTTAAGGTCAGTTACTACAGATAATGCTATTGCCTCATAGAACATGTGGATTCACTATTCCTGACTGACATGTTTGTCGTCCATGCACCTTGCCACTCCCCCTGTTTTTATTTACTAGGTATAATTACCCGTGCGATTGCTATGGTGCCAAATAATTTTCAGCACGACAATAATAGATTAAAAATAAACTGGCAAGCCTGTCAGGATTGTCGTGGAGTCTGCAGCTTGGCTTCTTCGGCTAAGTCAGAATGAGAAGAAGGAGATATATGAATCACATTTTCAGAAAATCCAAACTTTTCAAAACCCAGGCATTCTCATAGATTCGGGCATGATCTCCTAATTCCATAACACATGTGAGCCGATACAAATCAAACGTGTACAACAAATAACCTAAACATACCCAAATAAAAAAAAATCTGGGATGTGTCATGCATTGTCGTGGAGTACTACTTAAATTATGGAACTGATATGTAAGGTAAGTAAATCACGTGATATAAGAAATTAACGCAAAAGTTAAGTCAATTAAGGTGGAATTGATGCGGTGGTGCAAAAGAGAAGTTAATTGATGCGATTGTGGGACGTACGGGAAGGTGCGGTCAATTATGGTGTGGTGAACAAAAAATGATTGGACGAAACAAATCGGTGAAGGTACATGGTGGGAGGGGGAAAACGGTTGATAAAGAGTTTTACCTGACAGGAAGAGGAACCTTACGTATGTTTGAATTTTGAGTAGTAGAGAATTACTCAAAAATTCAATTTGAGCCCCGGCTCATCTCCATTTGATGAACAGTAAAATTACCATAAAAAAATTAAAAATTCAGTTTTTTTTCGTGCAAGATGCTTGAGTGTGTCAGGGTGCAAACTATCATGGGTAAATGAGATTCCAGAAGCTCGTGGCAGAAAGACAAAATGAGCTTCGAACAATGCATTTTTTTTACTTTCTCACAAGCCTGAATTTTGTTTTTGTTAAGAGCTACTCAAATGTCCAAACACCACCAAATTTGACATGAGCATCACACATTAGAGCATCTTGCATGCCTAAATTATTTGGATTTTTTAATTTGTTTGTTATTTTTACAATTTTACTGTTCACCGGCGGGAGCATCTACACCTGGGAGCCAGGTCACTGCGTCCAAATTTACTCTGCATATTTAATTTAGTTTAAGTCCAAATTTATAAAGTTGACCAGATTTATGGAGAACAATATAAAAATTTACAATAACAAATATATATGGTGTGAAAATATATTGAACGATGAACCCAATAGTACCGATAAAGTGTATAGATGTTAATATGTTTTTTATGGACTTGGTCAAAATTTACAAAATTTGACTTAAGATAATTGAGTAAACAAAAATGGAGGAAATACATACTCATATGTTTTGATGCATGCTCATGCATCCCTACTTAATAAATTAGTTAATTAAGGACTAAGTCGCCTGAAATTCACTTTGCATAAGTGTACTTTCGATATTTGTTTGGATTAAGATCCAACCGTTGTCCTTCTTCCTCCAGCTTTTTTTCTCTTTGAACGGTCCCTCCTCCATTGCTCGCCTCCAGGTTTCACTACCTCTCCTCTGGCTGCAACGACACGCTTCGCTGCCACTCGTCATGCCGTCTCAAGGTCCCCCACCTGCACCAGCCAACCAGTGGACCCACCTCCACTAGTTGCCTCGTCACCAGCTCCGGCTCGTCCATGCTCAGCCTCGCATGTGGCCCCATGCCTCACTGCCACTCATAGCGGTGCCCCCGGCTTGACTTGAAGCTCCGCTTCACCTCCTTTTTCTCCATTGAGATTGATTCACCCTAATTGTTGGAGAACGTAGTAATAATTCAAAATTTTCCTACGTATCACCAAGATCAATCTAGAAGATGCCAGCAATGATAGAGATGGAGTGCATCTTCATACCCTTGAAGATCGCTAAGTAGAAGTGTTACAAGAACGCGATTGATGGAGTCGTACTCGCGGCGATTCAAATCGCGGAAGATCCGATCAATCGCCGAACGGACGGTGCCTCCGCGTTCAACACATGTATAGCCCGGGGACGTCTCCTCCTTCTTGATTCAGCAAGGGGAAAGGAGAAGTTGAGGGAGAACTCCGGCAGCACAACATCGTGGTGGTGGAGCGCGTGGTTCTCCGGCAGAGCTTCGCTAAGCACTACGGAGGAGGAGGAGGTGTTGGAGGAGGAAGGGGTTGCGCCAGCGAAGGGGGTGCGGCTGCCCTCCCACCCCCTTTCTATTTATAGGGTTAAGGGGAGAGGGGGCCGGCCCCCTAGATGCATCTAGAGGGGGGGAGGCCAGGGGGGAGACTTGCCCCCCAAGCAAGGTGGGAGGTGCCCCCTCCCCCTAGGGTTTCCAACCCTAGACGCCTTGGGCCCTTGGGGGGCGCACCAGCCCACCAGGGGCTGGTTCCCTCTCATATTCAGCCCATTAAGTCCCCCGGGGCAGGTGGCCCCACCCGGTGGACCCCCGGACACCTTTCGGTGGTCCCGATACAATACCGATAACCCCCGAAACTATTACAGCGACTGAAACTAGACTTCCCATATATAAATCTTCACCTCTGGACCATTCTGGAACTCTTCGTGACGTCCGAGATCTCATCCGGGACTCCGAACAACCTTCGGTAACCACATACAATTTCCCATAACAACTCTAGCGTCACCGAACCTTAAGTGTGTAGACCCTACGGGTTCGAGAACCATGTAGACATGACCGAGACATCTCCCCGGCCAATAACCAACAATGGGATCTGGATACCCATGTTGGTTCCCACATGTTCCACGATGATCTCATCGGATGAATGATACGTCTCTAACTTATCTATAATTTTTGATTGCTCCATGCTATATTATCTACTATTTTAGACATTATTGGGCTTTATTATCCACTTTTATATTATTTTTGGGACTAACCTATTAACCGGAGGCCCAGCCCAGAATTGTTGTTTTTTTGCCTATTTTAGGGTTTCGAAGAAAAGGAATATCAAACAAAGTCCAAACGGAATGAAACCTTCGGGAACGTGATTTTCTCAACGAACAAGACCCGGGAGACTTGGACCCTACGTCAAGAAAGAAAAGAGGAGGCCACGAGGTAGGGGGGCGCGCCTACCCCCCCAGGCGCGCTCTCCACCCTCGTGGGACCCCTGTTGCTCCACCGACGTACTCCTTCCTCCTATATATATCTACGTACCCCCAAACGATCAGATACGGAGCCAAAACCCTAATTCCACCACTGTAACTTTCTATATCCACGAGATCCCATCTTGGGGCCTGTTCCGGGGCTCTGCCGGAGGGGGCATCGATCACGGAGGGCTTCTACATCAACACCATAGCCCTCCGATGAAGTGTGAGTAGTTCACTTCAGACCTACGAGTCCATGGTTAGTAGCTAGATGGCTTCTTCTCTCTTTTTGGATCTCAATACAATGTTCTCCACCTCTCTTGTGGAGAACTATTCGATGTAATCTTCTTTTTGCGATGTGTTTGTTGAGACCGATGAATTGTAGGTTTATGATCAAGTCTATCTATGAACAATATTTGAATCTTCTCTGAATTCTTTTATGTATGATTGGTTATCTTTGCAAGTCTCTTCGAATTATTAGTTTGGTTTGGCCTACTAGATTGATCTTTCTTGCAATGGGAGAAGTGCTTAGCTTTGGGTTCAATCTTGCGGTGTCCTTTTCCCAGTGACAGTAGGGGCAGCAAGGCACGTATTGTATTGTTGCCATCGAGGATAACAAGATGGGGTTTTCTTCATATTGTATGAGTCTATCCCTCTACATCATGTCATCTTGCTTAAGGCGTTACTATGTTTTTAACTTAATACTCTATATGCATGCTGGATAGCGGTCGATGAGTGGAGTAATAGTAGTAGATGCAGGCAGGAGTCGGTCTACTTGTATCGGACGTGATGCCTATATACATGATCATACCTAGATATTCTCATAACTATGCTCAATTCTGTCAATTGCTCAACAGTAATTGGTTCACCCACCGTAGAATACTTATGCTCTCGAGAGAAGCCACTAATGAAACCTATGGCCCCCGGGTCTATCTTCATCATATTAATCTATCAATACTTAGTTATTTCCTTTTGCTTTTATTTTACTTTGCATCTTTATCATAAAAATACCAAAAATATTATCTTATCATATCTATCAGATCTCACTCTCGTAAGTGGCCTTATAGGGATTGGCAACCCCTATCTGCGTTGGTTACGAGGATTTATTTGTTTTGTGTAGGTACGAGGGACTCGTGCGTAGCCTCCTACTGGATTGGTACCTTAGTTCTCAAAAACTGGGGGAAATACTTACGCTACTTTGATGCATCATCCCTTCCTCTTCGGGGAAAACCAACGCAGTGCTTAAGAGTTAGCAAGAAGGATTTCTGGCACCGTTGCCGGGGAGGTCTACGCAAAAGTCAACATACCAAGTACCCATCACATACCCTTATCTCCCGCATTACATTATTTTCCATTTGCCTCTCATTTTCATCTCCGCCACTTCACCCTTGCTGTTTTATTTGCCCTCTCTCTCTATCCTCCCTCTCTTTCTCTATTTGCCTCTTTTTGCCCGCTTGCTTTTTGTTTGCTTGTGTGTTAGTTTGTTTGCTTGTCGTTATGGCTGGTCCCTTATCTTCTTCGTTGTCTCCCGAGAATGAAATTCTAAATTTGAAGCAAAGGGAGGGAGAAAATCTAAAAGATGCTTGGTATATAATTTGCAATGCTCAAAATAGATCTACTAGGAAGCAATCTACTTCTGTTCTCCTTCGCAATTTTTATGTAGGCATTACTCCTTGGCACAGATATGTTCTTGATACTATTACCAGAGGGAACTTCTTGGGTAGCCATACTT